TACTTCTACTTTTATTTAATTTTAATCTGGCCTAAAAAATATCAAATAATCCTGAAAACAAGGTTACTATTTTAACGCCTTTTACTTTGCTGCATGTCATAGAATCATAGGGCTGGAAAAGACCTCAGGAGGGGGTCAAGTACAGCCCCCTGCCCAAGGCAGGACCAATCCCAACTAAGTTAACCCAGCCAGGGCTTTGTCAAGCCGAGACTTGATGTCACTTTGATTGTTTATTTGCTAGGTTACTATAGATCTATTTTCTTTTTGTAGCAGCTGATATGATTTGATTAATCTCCCTTTCTATATAAATTTTTTTTCTGCAGTATGACAGTGATGTCATCACGTTACTCAGCATCTCGCAGCCCCTTTCTACCTCCTCCCCTTTCCCTCCCTGGTACTCTGCAGCTGGGGGGAAGAGCACGGGGCCTGTGAAGCCCCACACTGCCTCCTTGGCGGGGCGTGCGGGGGAGAACACAGCACAGGCCCTGGGTGGTCTTTCCCCCGCGGGAGCGCAGGGCTGGACCTGTGCTGCCTTTCCCCCTTGGGGACGGGACTGGGGCCAGAGCCACATGGCCTTTTCCCCTTGCTGCGGCCTGCCCCTGCTCTCTTCCTCCCCTCTGGCCACGTGGGGACTCATGAAGGGGGGAAGGCCACGTGACTGGAAGCTGGCAGCTCTGGTCCCAGTCCCCTCCCCACAAGGAAAAAAGGCTGCATGGCTCCTGCCCCGCACGAGGGGGAAACACCACCGAGGCCCCGTGCTCTTGCCCCTATCTGCTGAAGTAAGATGGTGGTGGGCCTCTCCGGGGCCTCACAGGGTCTGTGCTCTTCCCCTCCTCCCACTGTAAAGCACCAGGAAGGGAAAGGGGAGGAGGTAGGGAGGGGCTGTGGCAGTGCTTTTTTTTGTTTAAAAAAAAAAAAAAAGGTGCTGGTACTCCAGAGGAAAAGGTGCCAATATTCCAGCTTCTGTACCTAATGACTGGAAGATAGCTAATGTGATGCCAATATTTAAAAAAGGCTCTAGTTGTGATCCTGGCAATTATAGACCTGTAAGTCTAATATCAGTACTATGGAGGTAAGTGACTAGTTGACTATCTGATAATCAAAAACTTATTGGATAGTTGACTAGTCCCTCGACTAGTCACTTCCCCCCCTTGCTGCCTCAGTCAGGGGCAGCAGGTGTGTGGGGGGGAACAGGAGCCCGTGCTGGGGGGGAGCCGGTTTGAAATCTGGTTCCTCCCAGCACCTTCTCCACGGGGGGTGAGGGAGATAGGAAGGTAGCAGGGACTGGGCGCAAACTTGGAATTTGCTCGTTCCCAGCTCATGCTCAGTCCCAGACATTGTGACTCTGCTGGCTCTTAATGCATTCAAAATGCTCAAGAGCAGTGGGATTAGCTCTGCGGTTTATCGACTAAATGACTAGTTGGTGGAAAATCCGTCAATGAGACAATTAGTTGATTAAACTAAATTTAACATCCCCGACCAGTACCGGGCAAATCAGTTGAAACTGTATTAAAGAATAACATTGTCAGACACATGCATTAATATAATTTGTTGGAGATAAGTCAGCATAGTTTCTGTAAGGGGAAATCATGTCTTACTAATGTACTAGAGTTCTTTGAGGGGGCCAACAAACATGTGGGTAAGGGGTATCCACTGGATACAGTGTAATCAGATTCCAGAAAGCCTTTGAGAAGGTCCTTCACCAAAGGCTCTTAAGTAAATTGTCATGGGATAAGAAGGAAGCTCCTCTCATGGACTGAGAACTGGTTAAAAGATAGGAAACAAAAGGTAGAAATAAATGGTAAATTTTCAGAATGGAGAGAGGTAACTAGTGGAATCCCCCAAGAGTCCGTACTGGGACCAATCTTGTTCAACCAGTTTATAAATGATCTGGAGAAAGGGGTAAAGAATTTAGTGGCAAAATTTACAGATGCTCAAAATAGTTAAGACCAAAGCAGACTGTGAAGATCTTCAAAAAGATCTCACAAAACTAAGTGATTGGGCAGCAAAATGGCAAATGAAATTTAATGTTGATAAATGTAAAGTAATGCACATTGTAAAAAATAATACCAACTGTACATACAAAAAGATGGGGACTAATTTATGTACAACTACTTGAGAGAGATCTTGGAGTCATGGATAGTTCTCTGAAAACATCCACTCTGTGCAGTAGCAGTCAAAAAAGCAAACAATGTTAGGAATCATTAAAAAGGGATAGAGAATAAGACAGAGAATATTTAATTGCCTGCATGTAAAAGTATGGTATGCCCCCATCTTGAATACTGTGTACAGATGTGGTCACTTCATCTCAAAAAAGATATATTGGCATTTGAAAAGGCAGAAGGGAAACAAGGCCAGGCAACACAAATATATCAGAAATGTAATTTGCTTCAATGAAAAAAGAAATTGACTAATTCATATATAGTGCTAAGAAGTTAATAAAAACAGTTTGTCTTTGTGAAATGTTCAGAATATTGTAATCATGACTCTTTTACTTACAGGGAAAAGGACCTGGATGCTAAATTTATTATTTCAATGGAACAAAATAAAACAACAATCACAAATATAAAGGTGAGTGTTCTCATTTGAAAAGGAAAAATTATAACCAAGCTAGCCATCAAAATAAGGTTATGCTAAATAGGTAATTGGTGGCATTCATTTGATATTAGGGAGAGGCCTTTTGTCTCTGTGTTATGTATGTCTTTGAAGTGCTATTGTACCACCTTATCATCTGAAGGTATCAGTGATTTATAAACACCATTCTGCCTAATGAATTTTCATGAGTTTAAGCCTTATAGCCATTTTACAGCTGAAGAACCAAAGCACAGAAATTGAAATACTTTGCTTAAATGACATAGTGAAATGTGTGGCAGAAATGGTGATAAAATCTAGTATGCGTGATGCATAACCCCCAGCTCTTTACTACACTGTGCTCCTTGCATGGGAAGAAAATTGTGTGTAATTCAGATAGAAGTACATATTGCTAGTGTTAATGAGCAGTCTGTCTCTAACCTGATGATAACTTTAAGCTGAAGGCATATATGATGGCTTTAATTACACCTGTTCTTTCAAATACAATTCAGCATGTACATGGCAAAGTGTTTCTTTATTAAGTATTTGTAATATTGTCTTAAATTCTAAAATTCTAACTTGTAGTAATTAGTAATGGTAAGCGTTATAAAGTAACATAACAAAAATGAGCCATTGCATTAAAATAGTGTCATGCCTACAGTGCCCTTTTAATAAGACTATCCGTTACTTATAAAAACTGATGTTACTTGATAACTTTTTTCATAACTAAGTATTGCATGTATGTTTGTTAAAATAAAAAAAGGGATAGCCTTTCATTAAGATTCTTTTTGTGTTTTGGTATGAAGTTTGCTTTCCAGTCAGTTATATTGGAAAGTGTTCTTAGGATTAATTACATTATCACGCAACATGCCAACTCTTTTTTGTTTTGTTTTGTTTTGTTTTGTCTTCTGTAGATACCAGAAGGAGGAACTGGAGATATAGGAAGAGAACGGACAAAAACGTTTACTTATGACTTCTCCTATTTTTCAGCAGATAGTAAAAGTCCTTCATATGTGTCTCAAGAAGTGGTAGGTTTTTCTTTAGAATTGTTTTTTATACTGAAAGAATATAAAGTTTCCTTTCTTTTACAGTTCCCTATTTCCAATTGGAAATTACCTACATGTTTAAGGGAAGCGATAAGAAAGCCAGTACAGCTAGCTATGTTTTCTCACAATACAGAAGAAATGCCCATTGTCCGGCTCTCTTGTCTTATTTTGTTATGTTATGTTAGTGAAATCCCCAATACAACTTTTATCCTGCTACTTACATTTGTTCTTCATAAGTTTTTAGTTGACAAATATATCTGCTTAATTCAAAAAGTCAGAAACATTTTTTCCAAGTAAATCCTATTTCAACAAAAGATTTATTAAGCATTTGAGATTCTGCTTGAAACAGGTTTGTGATGCATCTCCCCAGAGTATTACATGCCAGCTTTCTAATGTACTATTTTAGACTTGGCCATCTAAATTATCTTTCTTCCTTCACCCACAAGACTGCATACCTGACTGTCGTTCCTAATTATGGACATCTGGTGACTGTTTACTCAACCCAAATGTAAATGTATGGAAACAATTTTTCTGAAGACAAGTCATGTGTAATTGCATACACACTACACATTTGCACTTAACTTAGGCACACTAATGTATGTGAACATTTGTATGCTACTCGCTTTGAAATATGTCATACTTGTTTTATTTATTTATTTATGTATTTATTTTAAAATATTTATACTCCGCCTCTATTTGAAATATTCGAGGCGGCTTACAAATATTTTAAAAACACAATACAAATATGTATACAACTTTAAAATACGAGACCCCAGAGAGACATAAAACCTGCTAAAAACGTCTTGAGAGGAGGAACACACACATTACAGACTCAAACACCAATAAAAGCACAATTAAAAAGAGTGGCTTTAGCCTGATGATGAAACAATGCTAACACTGGCACCATGCGACTATCCCGAGGAAGAGAATTCCACAGCCTGGGAGCAAAAGCTGGGAAGGCCCTGTTATGCATAGATGTTAATTTTATCTCCATAAGTAGGGGAACATTGAGCAGAGCCTCCCAGTTGATCTCAATCCCTGGGCAGTTCATATGGGAGAAGATGATCCTTCAGATACCCCGGACCCAACCCTGTTTAGGCCTATATAGGTCATAACTAAGACCTTAAATTGTGCCCGGAAAAATACCAGAATCCAGTGCAGCTGCCTATGCTCTGTATAACAAGTATTAGTTAAAACTCGATGAGCCACATTCGGGACCAGTTGAAGTTTCCGAAGGCTCTTTAGAGGCAGCCCCACATAAAGAGCATTACGGTAATCCAGTTGGGATGTAACAAAAGCATGTGCACTGTGGCCAAGTGATGCTTGTTCAGGAAAGGTTAAAAAAGGGTCCAGAAGGACTCTCAAGCTGCGTACCTGTTCTTTCAGGGGGAGAGTAACCCCGTCTAGAACAGGCACCATGCCATATTCCCGAACAAATGGCCTCCTGATCCACAGGACTTCAGTCTTATCTGGATTCAACTTAAGCTTGTTGGACTTCATTCAGATCATCACCGCTTCCAGACACCAGTTTAGGTCAGTCACCGCCATGCCTGGTTCTGATGTCACAGGGAAATAGTTGCATGTCATCTGCATGTTGATGGCACCGTCCTCCAAAACTCCTTATGACTTCTTCCAGCAGCTTCATGTAGATGTTAAACTGCATAGGGGACAAGATGGAACCTTGCGGGACCCTGTAGCACAATCACAATGGTGTCGAATAGCAGCCCCCTAACTCCACTTTCAGAGTGTCCCAACAGGTCACACCGGAACCACTGCAAAATAGTGCTTCCAATACCCAGCTCTGCCAGGCGTTTCAGAAGGATACCGTGGTGGATGGTATCAAAAGCTGCTGAGAGGTCTAAGAGAATTAATAGAGACGCACTCCCTTTGTCTGTCTCCCGGTGTAGGTCATCTACCAGGGTGTCCAAGGTGGTTTTAATTCCAAAACCTGGCCTAAAGCCAGACTGAAATGGATCTAAATAATTAGTTTCTTCCAAGAAAGCTTGGAGTTGCAATGCCACTGCCCGCTTGAGTACCTTGCCCAAAAAGGGAATATTAGCAACTGGGTGATAGTTATTCAAATCATGTGGGGTCCAGGGAAGGCTTCTTAAGTAGTGGTTTTATCACTGCCTCTTTCAAGGCGGCAGGAACCATACCATTTCTAAAAGATGCATTAATTCCCCTGAACCCAGTCATCCCTTCCTGGTTAGATTTAATAAGGGGTCGAGCGAGCACGAGGTCAGTCACACTTTTCCAAGCCCCTTGTCCACATCCTCAGTCTGCAATAGCTGAAACTGTTCCAAAGGAAAAATGACTGAGTGGTGTGCTCAACACATTCTGTGCCCCACTTACATATCAGCCAGAGTCCAAATCAGACCGAATGCGAGCGATCTTATCTGCAAAGTGCTTTGCAAACAGATAACAGTGGGGAGCCAAGAGCTCTTCCATTTCATCATGAGTGCCAGACTGTAACAAGCCACGCACCGCTTGAAACAGTTCAGCTGGATGGTATTGTGCAGATGTGATACTGGTGGAAAAGTAGCTTTTCTTCACTGTCAGCACTGCCACAGAGTAAGTTCGCAATTCCGCTCTAACCCGCAATTGATCAGACTCAGCTCTAGCTGTCACACAGACCGTTTCGCTGCCCCAGAAAACCAGGGAGCAAACTTGGCTTGGTTAGCCCAAAGAAGGCGCTTAGGAGCAATCATGTCAACTGCACAGGCTACCTTGATGTTCCATATATCGACTAGGGCATTGACAGGACCATTTGCCATCATGGCTGAACAATCTCTCAGGGACCTCAGGAAGCCCTCTGGATCTATCAGCCTCTGAGGGCGGATCATCTTAATAGGCCCCCCGCTTGTGTGGAGGGGAGGGTTAGTAGATAGTCTAAACTTGACCAGGCAGTGATCAGTCCATGACAAAGGGAGTGTAACCACATCCCTTATCCCAAGATCCCTATCACCCTTATTCCAAAAGACCAGATAGAGCATATGACCTGCAACATGCGTGGGGACAATTATTTCTTGGGATAGTCCTAGGGCCCATGGTATCCATAAAATCTTGGGCCTCAATGCCACTTCTGAGACCACCTCAGTCAGCTCGAGCAGAGCGTCTGCTGTACAATGGTTTGGACAGTACACAAGCAGCACACCCAGCCTATCTCAGTCACCCAACATCAGGTACAAACACTCGACTCTAACACTTTGTGGGACCAAGGCCCTAGCCAGTGGAAAGGTATCTTGATAGACAATCACTTCCCCAACCATCGAGCCACAGCTGGTGCTGTACTGAGAACCCAGCTAGGCACAATTGGGAAAGGTCAGTGCCTCACTCCACTCCCAGCCAGGTCTATGATACAAGCCAGGATTAAATCATGGATGACAGCTGTTTTGTGAGATACTGACCTGGCATTCAGCAGCAGCACGCTCAGGGCTGATGGACAGGTGTTAAGATTCCCAGAGTTATTGAGGCTAGGAACAAGACCGGAACAAGGAATAGCACATAAGTGTCTAAACCGTGTTCCCCTTGACTGGCCAGTCCGGATCTCACTGCCATATCTTTCCTACCTGTCATAGCTGCTACAGTGCTATTTGAACCCTCCCCCTTATCCACCCGGTCTGTGTCAAGAACATAATGAAAAAAGAGAATAAATACAACCCTTCCTTGAACTTCAGTGTAGGCAGGTAAGGGGAACTTCCTCCCACCAAGAACCCTCCCTGCTCTCATTAGGGACTGAATAGGCTACCACACAACCAACAAGTGTGCTACTCTCACCAGAACACACACACTCAAAAATTACACTATAACACATAAAGCTGCCACCACCACAGCACACACCCTTGCCCCTCAGTCTGTCCCGAAGGGCTCCCCAAAGGGAAGTACCCTTTAGCTCGCCCCTTCGGAGTGGCCCGCTACCAGCGGCAGCCTCCTGGCTTTAAGCCTGATCCTGATAATGGCTGCAGGCAACACCTGCAGCTGAAAGGTCTTAGTCCTAACTGGGCAGGCCTCGTACTCAGGAGATAATACAACAACATGAGGGCAAGATCTTTCCTTCAAGCGGGGCTGGGAAAGATGTTAGTCCTTGTTCCCAGCCCTCACCCCTCTCTCCTCTTTTTGAGGTAATTTAATTTATACAGTTCTTTGGATGCTTATGACTTTGCATCATCCCTTCCAGATCCAAATTTAATTTCTCTAACAGTGTTTTTTAGTATAAGCATTTTCCTTTGTTGAATCTCTACCAGCGAGTTAGGACAGTTGCTCCTCTGCTTCTATCCTGAAATCTTTCTCATATATTAAAATATTGGAAATTTCTGCTGAATTTATGGATACCCGATTAATTAGTTAACCACTTAAACATTAGGTTAACCTAATTCTTAACCTGTTAATTAGGTTGGCTCCCTTGTCTGTCCCCAGGGCTGCCGCTGCTGCTATCAGCATGCAGCTCCTGGCCTCAGCTCCTCTAGTCTACTTTTATTGCCAATTTGACGAAATTTGCACTCTCAGATTTCTGTTTAACCATTTAATACAAGCAGGTAGATTCCATTTTAAAAGTCCTTGTTAATTTTATACTTTTAAGTAATACGTGAATCAGTTCAACCACTTGATTGTGTGTAACTAAAGAAGTCATTAATTCTTGCCAAATTAATTTTTTTCCATTGCAGCAGTTGCCACCGTGTACTTGTTTTCTGAATATTTTATTTGTTTCTGTCCATGTATGCTTTGAAAAATAAATAAGATCTTAATTTTAATCAAGTGAAGGAAAGGTTGTAATTTAAAACTTTCATAAAAATTTTCAAAGTCAATTTGAGGCCTCAGATATGGAAAACATTGCCATTCAGAAAGTCTGGCCTCCAAGCTGTCAAACCCTCCATTGCCTATCATGCATTTGTGTTAAATAACAAGTCCTATAGCATATGGAGAGCTGAAGGCCATCTTCAAATAATTTGACTTGCCTTAAAAATAAATATTACATACGTTGTCTGCCTTGTATTATTCATTTTCGTGTAGAATTGTAAACCTACACATTTTAACTTGCATCAAGCTGCTACAGAATTTCCACTCTGTTACACCACAGTATCACAGAAACCTTTCTGAAGGATTCACGTCCAGCTCGTGGTGGAGCACAATGGATACTTGCATTACTGCTGGATACCTGAATTACTTGCAAATTTGGTTCATAATCATTAAACTTGTGCTATAGACAAGTAGCTGAGTGATAAATTAGACTGTATCCAGCCTCATGTGTCCTGTCAGTGCCCTCTTGTGGACATAAGTTTTGTTACAGTGACTCAAATTCGACTAGAAGGTTTAACCATCCGATCTTTAACTGAATACTTGTTCAACAAGAATGAAGACAGACAATTTGTCAGTTGTACTGGCCCTTTGACCTCTAACAGACTGCCCCAGTGATTCAGTCCTGAAATTAACTGTATGGTCTCTTGAAGTTGCTCCATTTAGGCAATAATGAAGAAAATGGCAATCTCACTCTAAACATTGTTGATTTACTTTAACCTGATTAAATTTTGAAGAGTTATATAGCATAATACATTTTTTGTTGTTGCATAAAGATGTTTCTGTTCCCCCACATTTTCCAGGTTGTATAGGAAGAAAGAGACTAGTACTAAATTAATGAAGGGAGTGGGGGTAGGAACTGGGCTGTCACCAGGGCAGGACAAGTGGGGTAGCCATATAGGATCCAGAGTTGAGGGTGGTAAAATGGGGTAGAAAAATGCAGAATAAAAATGAGTAGGGGGTGCAGATATGCTCATTTGCTTGGGATGCTAAAATGATGAGATACAGCCAATGTTCCCTCCAATCTTTTCCATCCATGTGCTGAATAATTTTTTTGTGTACCACCAATTGAAAAACAAAATCTAATTATGTGGCTCTGCAAATCAGCGGGTAGGCATCTGAAATTTTCCTGAGCAGCAATTCAAGCACACAACTTACAGGGAACACTGGTTAGACCTCCCTATAGAAATAATGATTAACAACTCCACGAGGCAGGCTTGAGCATACTCAGAGAGATTACCAAAAATAAGGCAAAGTTTGAACTGAATTGAATAAAATGAATAAAGTTTTCAGTGGAATTGTTTGGCGATCATAAAAGTGACTTATTTTTCAACGTTTGAGAAGATGGATAGTGGCAATCTTCATGCACAAGGGTTTGTAGAACTTTATCATGGAGAGGCAATCAAGAAATGCAGGTATGGATGAGGATTTCAAGAAACATACCACCAGAATTTTGCACCTATAGACAGTATTGTAGAGATAGTGGGATGGAGATTTAGACTCAAGATATGCAAAAGGAGGAAAAATTGAGGCTGCCCAGGAGAAAAAATGGCATTAAGTGGACACACTTTCTAAATACAGTAAAACTCCAATAGTCCGGCACTCCTGATAGTCCGACATCAAAATGGCAAGAGCTTAGTGAGTGAGCTTTGGCAAAAAATGAGTCACAAGGTAACAGCAGCAGCAGCTGAACTGAGCGAAAAAGGGTTTAAAAAAACTAAAACATACTGTATACAGTATGTACAATAAAAAGGGTTAAGAACACTTTATATACAGTATATTCTATATACAGTATATACTTAACCAGCTTATAGTACTTCCTAATTCTCCGGCATATCGGATAATCCGGCACCGCCTAGGTCCCATAGGTTCTGGATTATTGGAAGTCTACTGTAACTGGGAGAGAGTCAAGAGTTGTGCTTAAGATTGTTTAAAACCGGTTCCAAAACTCTGATACATGAGCATGTTGAGTGTGGCATGCTATAACAGAGTGGTTTGTCCTCTTTAAGGGGTAATGGGGCCTGGAGCCATCCAACCCCACCATAACAGAAAGGAACCAGGCACATCTATACGGCTATGTAGATGATCCAGGATGATGGAGTGCTCTCTGCAATATCAGATTTGGTGAAATGTGAGGGCAAAAGAAGAAGGGGCTATTTGAGGAAAGAAGGTAACTACTACAAAGAAGAAACATTCTGTACTTTGGCCAGAAGAAAACTTGAGATTGAATTCAAAGGTTCTGTAATGTAAGAAGTGATTGGCAAGAGAAAAAGGCCACTTACCTCTTCTATTTGGGTGAAAAATGCCATTTATAGTCTTGGGATCAAGAAAGAGTTTTCTTTTCAAGAAAAGGAGTAGACACTTTCAAATTCTGTAGCATTGGGGGAGATACTAGCGGTATAAAGGAAGCATTAACGTAGCAGAAAGACGGTCATTAAATAGTGTTTGAGATTACATTAAAAAAAACAGGAGAAAGGGGTAGTTTTCTGATGATTTTGAACAGTATCAGGAAAATCTAGGTTTGGCAGAGAGAGTGAAAAGAATACTTTGGTGTTGCTGTAAGCTAAATATACTAGTGACTTTCTGTATTTAATCAAAATGCTTTCTAGCTAATATCACTGGTCCAAATGGATAGCTTGTATATGTTAGTATATTTCTGCTGTTTTATACTATTTGCAATGTTACATTGAACAGAATACATTAAACTATAATGAAAACTACTCCATATATATAATTTATTTTAACTATTCAGTCTCTTAAAAACCTTTTGTTTTTGTTTTTGTTTTTAGGTTTTTAAAAATCTTGGAACAGATGTCCTTACATCTGCTTTTGAAGGTTATAATGCTTGTATTTTTGCATATGGACAAACTGGATCTGGGAAGTCGTACACTATGATGGGAAATACTGTATGTCATGTTTTGCAGACTTCAGTTTTATTGTGCATTTGGATTCTTCTTGGAACCATAATTCTCTTCTATCTTGTCTGCATTTTGCTAATTCTAACTTCTAATAGTTAGCTGGGAGTCTACAAAGTTCCTGTTAGTTATGTGGGAAAAATTTTAAATTGGGGGAGGAAAAAAACGTGTGTGTTGCTGATACATCTAACCATAAGCTGTTTATGCACAGATCAGAACCAGAATCTTCAAAAGTGACTTCCTGATTTTTGGGTACTCAAATTGAGACACCATAAAGGAGCTGTGATTTTGAGAGAATGTATGATTACCACTTTATGAAAACTGCTTGGTTCTGAAAGAAAAAACATCAAGATGACAGTTTGATTTCTATTTGAAGATAAAACCTTCAAGTTGGGAATAGGGTCTGAGAATAATGGCTGAGTTCATGTTTTTAAGCTATCATTTAAAATATTACACAGACTTTAATTTTAAGGATTTAAAACTCGAGGGGAGATGTTCACAATTGATTCCAGTGAGGGGGGGGGATGCTTGTCTAAGAGGGGAAGGGAACTGGTTGAGAGAACTTTTAAGCAGTGCAGCCAATAGCATGCTGATTAGATGCATTCCAGAAGTACTCTCTACTATCTGGACTCTCTTGTATTGCTTAGCTAAAATAAAAGCTGCCATCTCATTGCAGAATTTAAGAAGGAAAAGCTGCCACCTGCCCTCTGTCGGTTAAATCCTTTTTGAGCTACAGGAGCTGTAGTGGTGTCACTAATTTTCACCTTCCTGAGCTAACAATTCTGAATGGATTTCCCCCATGAGACCAGTATATCTGCCCCATGTACAAATGTGTTTGCTGCTGAAAACAGACAGCTGGGACCAAGAGCACCTGTAGTGTCTGTGACGGCGCGTTGGGGGTTCCCCGTCTCCTGCACCCCGAAATGGCACAAACAGACTGCACCAGCCAGTGGAATTGAGGGTGGTTTATTGCTCCTCCAGCACAGCGCAGCACAGATGTAATCTGGTTACAGGAACTGGGGCTAAGAGGCCTCAGTGCCCCCCCCTTGAGATAGGGGAGTCCCAGCCCCCTCCCCAGCTCCTTATTCCCTGCCTTCCAGATAGGAACTAACTAACCCTCTCCAAGCCCTGCCCCCCAGCCAGGGCAGCATTCCACCTTCCTTTGTTCCTCTCCATGGGGAGTGTCTGGCCACTGGTTCAACAAGTTTGGCATTACCTCTGCCTAGTGAGGCTTTCCCTGCTGGGTCTTGCTCCAGACAGCAGGGGTCACCACAGCCCAGCAAGTACCCCCACTACGTCACAGTGTCTTACCAGGGTGACAAGTAGAGTCCTGCACCGTTTCTCCCAGAAGCCACTGTTACCTTGCTTTGCCTGGGAAAGACCTAGCCTCCTTATTCCCAGAAGGAGGCAGAATCAGTCTTTCTCCTTTTGTCCCTCTGCCTCCCATGAATGCTATGACTGACATTTTTGAGATCATACTTTGCAGGGCAGGTTTTCTTATTCTGGGCATTGTGTTAACAGAAGTGAGCATGCAAAAGTGTGGGCACCAATGCACTTGAGCATATTGTCCTCCAGAACCTGGAAGAAAACTAAGGATTCTGGTGTTTCAGAATTTCTTTGCTCTCTGTAAATATCTGTGAAACTCTTTAAGTGTCTCAGCTGCTCCCTAGTGGTTGTTCTATACAGAAGATGATATCTTACTACTGTTGTTAGTTATTTTGGGCTTGTGTGCTCTAGGAAGTTATTTCAAAATAGCGTGTCCACTCTACAGGGAAGCCTTGAAATTAGTCCGAAACAGGCTCCCTTAATGTGGATATTCTACCTTGACTTAGAGCCCCAGGAAGCACTGGGGAGTATTAACTTTGAATGGCATGTAGTTATTCTGAAATAGCAGAAGTGGAGTGTCCATACTACTGCTATTTTGATATAACTATTTCAAAGTAAGTGTTGTTCCTTGTGGAAAGCAAGATTTATTATTTTGAAATAAGGGAATTTATTTCGAAATAACTCCCTATTGTAGACCAGGGTTCTGTTAACTCAGTTGGCAGAGGTTTGTGGTGATAAATCACATGGGTATGTTGTATTAATTTAGCTATAATACATGAACAAAAGGTGTTAACTCTTTGACAGTTACATGAATGTTTAGCTTATATATTTCATTTAATGTAATAATTTGGCATTTTTGGAGGTCTTTCTGTCTCACTTCTGTATTTTTCCTCCATCAGCACATGTCAATTTGTTGCCACAAGATTATTCAAATTTTGTTTTTTTTTTAAAGTTTTCAGAGATGTAGGAAATTACACCCAGAAACCTGTGCAAAAAGAACATTAAAGTCACAAAATCGAGTACTCCGAAATTGAGAAATGCAAGACTTAAAATTGCTTCAATTTGGTTCCCTTACGCACATATTATTATAATAGCCTTTAATTGCACTACTGCATGTTGTATTTTCCAAAGGCCCTCTGCCTCACTCAGTGCAGAAGATGGATCTACTCTGGGGATGGATCAGAGTAGTGTAGTGCATGAGGCTGTTTGTAGGACCCCTGCTTCTCTTGTTGCAGATGTTGGAAGGTGTATATTGAATGAGGCAAAAGGTTTCAGGGAGAGAAAGGATGGCCTCATAGTTAAGGGCAGTTAAATGTTGCTCTGGAGAACTGGATTCTTTCTGTGCCTTAGGTAGCTGAGAATTGTTTGGATGAAATGTGTAGGGTACACAGTAAAATGTAACCCAAAACTGAGGGCTCTTACTAGGATCTGAACTGCAATCTGCTTAACCTCCAAGTTGCTATGGCTGTTAAATATGATATTAAAAATATCTAATAATTCCCTGCTGTGTGTATCTTTCAATAACTCTGGGTATTGTCAATTTAAACTGGTGATTTCTTGGCTTTTGTTCTTAAAATATACGGCATGTGCATGTAGCAATGTAGAAAACCAAAATTGTTCTTGCAGGGTGATGCCGGTTTAATACCTAGAATTTGCGAAGGTTTATTCAGTAGAATAAATGAAAAAACAAGATGGAATGAAGCATCCTTTCGAACGGAAGTCAGGTAGGTTTTTCACTGTGTTAGAAAGATTGCTGGGAATGAATCAACTCTGTTACAAACTCCCTGTTTTCATGTTAGTATCTTTTTGTACAATGTGGATTTTGGGATAAATTTCCATGTTTCTCAGCTTGAAAATGGATTTTTTGGAAATGTTTTCAGCACTTTTCTGCTGGCTTTCATTAATCCTTCCATTTGCATTCAAAAATTTCACAGCAGACAGAGATTGAACCTGGGAAACTTCATCTCAGATGCTAAAAGTTTGTCATGATTTACAGACAGCTGAAATAATTCTTGAGAATGGGAACACTTAAAGAATCTTAACTTCAGCTGTTGCTATATGCACCATATGTAATAATTTTAAAATACTTTAATTCTGCAGGTTTTTGGCTTTTTGTAAGCAGCAATTGTAACAGTTACATCCAATTAATCACTTGACCATGATGAAATCAAGTTTTTAATTTTTTACTAGACCATTTTTTAATGTTCAGAGACTAAAAAGCAAAGAAGATCAACTGTTTTTCTGCTGCTACAACTACCTGTAGTAATGGGATTTGCATCAAGAAATGGTGTTACTTTAGGAAGCATATTACATTACAGAAAAAAACAGGCAACTCATGGAGATATTTGTATCATTATATCATCTTTAGAAGTACTGTTACCATAGAGTTTATGTTATAAATGGTATCACAATTTGGTAAAAAATTTACAAATTGGGATCTGTCCTGCAAGAGTGACTGAGTAGTCATTTGAACTAATGTGGGCAAAATAACTCATCTGTAAATTGGTAGGATTGAAGCTTAATTTTACCATTTGAAGGAGTTCTTTCCAGTAATTTTGCTTTTTAAAATCTTGTATTTAATATTTTTCTAAATTAAAATACTTTTGTTTCAGTTATCTGGAAATCTATAACGAACGTGTAAGAGATCTGCTTAGACGGAAGTCATCAAAAACATATAATTTAAGAATAAGAGAGCATCCAAAAGAAGGGCCTTATGTTGAGGGTAAAAACCACTTCAGTACTTTCAATTTTGTGAATATTTGCATGTTTTGTGTTTAATTGTATAATCCTATTTTTCTCATTAAATTGTTTATGCAAATAAAGATGAAAGTGAAAGACAATACAGCTAATTGTCAATATTAAAACATTATTGGGAACAGCCTTTTGTGCATTTTTCATTTCCAAACCCCTCTAAAGCAGAACACTTTTTTATTGAAGTGAAGCTCTGCTAATTGATTTTAAATAAGCATTGGGGCTATCTTAGGAATTGTGGATGTTTTTAAGTGAAAAGAGCCTATTGGAATCTGACTATCTTAGTCTGCTACTCTGACATTGCAAGTTCTTGACCCTCGAAAAGTTAGAGATATTGTATATGCTTTGAAGAGAAATATGCACTTTTAAAAACTATTCTACTGTAAATATTCTAATAATAGTCTGGTATTCTTTGCACAATGTCTCATTCTTCTATTTCAAAGAAATTAAGGTAATTGACTTTACACACTTTCTGTGCAATTAAAGCATTGCTGCGTTGTATTGCGGTGGACTGGATTCTCTATCAGTTCACAGTACCTTCATAGGTATTCTTGTTCTAATTTTCATTTTTGTTCCTGATCAGATTTGTCCAAACATTTAGTACAGAATTACAGCGATGTAGAAGAACTCATGGAAGGAGGAAACATAAATCGAACTACTGCTGCAACTGGAATGAATGATGTTAGCAGCAGGTCTCATGCAATTTTCACGATCAACTTCACTCAGGTAAAAATAATTGTGTTGTCTTTAAATATTTACATTTAACAACTTACTTGCTAATTGATTCATGTAACTGTCAAATAGGGATGTAGGTGACTAATCAACTAGTCGACTATCTGATAAGCAAAAGCTTATTGGATAGTCGACACACTAGTTGACTGGTCGCTTCCCCCTCCCCTTGTTGCCTCTATCAGAAAGTCAGTTCCTCCCAGCTCCAATTCCGTGGGAGAGGCAGGGACGCAGCAGCGGTGTTCTGTCTTTGAAATGTACAAGAGCCCCCGCTGTTCCAGGCTCCATGTGATGTTTCAGTCTTTGAAATGTACAAGAGCCCTAGCGGGGACTCTTGTACATTTCAAAGGCGGAACTCTCTGTGGCACTTCCGCCTTTGAAATGTAGCCCAGTGGGCTCTTGCTAAATTTCAGAGCGGAAGTGCCCTTATCCACTAGTCGATGGAAACTCCATGGTCTGTTTGATTAGTTGATCTAATTTTAACATCCTTACTATCAAATCAGCAACTTGGGAGAACTGGTTACTTCTATTTAAATTAGGTCAGATACTTGTATGGATTTTAAGTGTCAGGCTGCAATTCTTATTAAGCTTAAACCTGGGGGAGGGGTATTATCTGCTCATCACCAATACTCTTCTTTATGAGGCATTTAAATGTTCCCAGTGGGGAGGTTACAAGAGCGCCTACCACATAACTCTTAACTTGGAATGGGCTTTCCCTAGTCTGTCCACTTGCATTCAGTTCAATTGGAGGGCCCTTGCTACCCTCCACCATCATGAGGGGAACAGAAGGTGCAGAAGGGTTCAGACTTAAGCCTTTGAAGACCACGAAGTCTCACCAAAGAACTTGTGGTCACAAAGTGAATTTAATAGGCAGCAGTTTTAAAACAAACAAAAGGAAGTATTTCTTCATGTAGTGCACAGTCAGCCTGTGGAACTCCTTGCCAGGGGGTGTTCTGAAGACCAGGACTTTAACAGGGACCAAAAAACAACTAGATCAATTGATGGAGGTAAGGTCCATCAATGGCAATTAGCTGGGATGGGCAGGAATGGTGTTGCTAGCCTCTGCTTGTTAGAGGCTGGAAATGGATGACAGGACTTGTTCTGTTCACTCTTTCTGGGGCATTTGGCATTGGCCACTGTTGGAAGACAGGATACTGGGCTAGATGGACCTTTGGTGTGACCCCGTATGGCCTTCCTTATGTTCTTAAGACCCATTAGCAAAATTCCATTCATTTAATACTTTCAACTGTACTGAAAACTGGCCCCAGGTTGAGATGAATTAACAGCTCAACCAAGTACCTCTGCTAGGTACTAAACACATTCATACTGCCACTTGTGGCTTGAAGGAGCTGTGAGGAAAGTGGAAAAAACCTCCCCAGGTCTCTGCCAGTTGGCTCTCTGACCTCCAACCTCTCTGCCATTCTGGATTCCCATTTCTAATTCAGAATGGGTAGGGAGGAGTTGCTTAAATGGAGCTGAAAGAGGCTCCATGTGGCACAGTCTCCAGGTTAAATCCCTAGAGCTGGGGCAGTTGGCCAGTCATCACCTCTCTTGTACAACTGGCCAACAGACTCAAAGTAACCATCTGGTGTACTTTCATGGGAAGTAACCATCTGGTGTACTTCGAGTGTCTCCCTTCCTTAATATTGAGGATATCGCTCTTCACCACCTACAATGTTCCCTGTTATCTGTGCACTTGGGTGGCCACTCAGGAGAGATTCAGATGTTATCTAAATGATTTACAGAGCGCCCTTGGCTGACAGCATATGTTTCTGCTTGTGCACATCTGCACATGCATGGATACACATGACAAAATTTCCGCATGTTACGTGATTTGCATAAAATGATGACTGTCTTTTATGCCTTAATATTGGTCATAGCCTCCGAAAATAGTCTCATGGCCCAAACTGTACAATAGTCTCACGGCTCAAATTTTTTATCTTTGTTCTACCATTAACTGGTCCTCTTCTGGGTACTCAAGATGAATACCTATGTTCCCCATATTAGTCTCCGGACTAAGGGGGTGATGAAATACATTTTTCTAGGTGTTTGTTTTCCATTCCAATTCCTATTAGCAGTCAACCATACAAAAGGGAGTGTACTATTTTTTTGGTGTGGGAATAGTAGCCCTATGCAGAATTTTATGGAAGGAAGATGGAAGAGAGAGAGAATTTGGCATAGATGCAGTGTTTTGTTTTTTTTTCCCCATAGCATGTTGCAAAAAATATATTTTCAGAGCACTGAATTATTCAGCTCACAGCTTTTAGAAAAAGATGGGAGGTTAGCCAACAATTGGTGTTAATATATTGTTCAAAGAAACTATTAAAAAAAGGATGATGGGAAATCTGAATGAAGAGGATGTGTGTGTGTGTGTGTGTATGTGCATAAAAATGGTAACTCTAATTGTTACCCAAAAATGTAATGCAGCAAACTCGCCTGTTATCTGTATTATTTTAAAATAATGCATTTTAAGACATTTGTGATGGCTGTATTTATGTAAATAACTGATTTTTTTAAAGTAATAGTTCACACATTAAAGCTAAGTGGATACTATGCAATTGCTTGTGAATGAACTCCATTCCTTGGTATCTCTAGTACAGCTCTGTTACTGTAAATATATACATGGAATCTCAAAAAAATGACATGAAAGATACAGACTCAATTGAGTAAGATTGTAAGACTTTGTAGCTTAACCCATTATCTTTTATTTTCTTGTTTGTCTTTTTCTTTAGGCAAAATTTGATGCTGAAATGCCTTGTGAGACTGTTAGCAAGATCCATTTGGTAGATCTTGCTGGAAGTGAGAGAGCAGATGCCACTGGTGCTACAGGGGTTAGATTAAAAGAAGGAGGGAATATTAACAAATCTCTAGTTACTCTGGGAAATGTCATTTCTGCCTTAGGTACGTCTCTGTTTTCTTTCATGCTCTGTCTTCTTTCTGCATTAGTATTAGGTATTTGTTTCTTAGTTGGTTGGCATTTAAATAGCAATAATGGATAGTAGTGCTATGGTTTTAATTCCTTTGAAAAATTAAACAAAATACAGAATTGCTTTCCTCCTCTCCTTCACAGCTGATTTGTCTCAGGATGCAGCAAATCCTCTTGCAAAGAAGAAGCAAGTATTTGTGCCTTACAGAGACTCTGTGTTGACTTGGTTGTTGAAAGATAGCCTAGGAGGAAACTCTAAAACTATAATGATTGCCAGTAAGTGTTTTAAATTACTTTCCTTCATTCTTATCAGTTTATACAAATTAGTCGTAAATATTTTTATTCCAAATGCCTCATTAAGAAATGGTGTTATTTACACCTTGTTAAATTAATGATTACTTTGCGAAGCAAATCTTCCTAATACAGTCCAAATTCTTTCACTAACTATTCTCTTTTTCATAATGTCTGATAGGAACATCGTTGTCCTTTTAAAAAAAATTGTAGCATGGGTCCCTAGCAGTGCAATCAGGGCATACATATTTGTGTGCTTGACCCTCTCTCCACTTATTTCAGTAAATACAACCAGATTTTCAAGAAGACGTGCAACTGCATATATTTGTGCTTGCAAATTAGATGTTTGTGTGCGCATATCACTAGTTGTGTCTAACTGAATCTGTATGCCAAATACCTACTTTATTTGCATTCATTAGGTACTTATTGAATGAGTAGGGAGTGCATAAATGTATGTACAAGCACTTTTTGTGCCGCCTTTAGAAATGAAACATTAAAGATTAAAAATGCAGTTAATAGCGATCAATTAAGCTTGAACTCAAACATGCCTAATATCTTGTGATTCAATTGCCTTCAGGACTATTTAGTTTATCAGGTTTTTTTTAACTGCCCTCCATCCTAACACCCTCAATCAGTGCCCTAAATGTCAAGACTTTTTTCCCTCCCTCTGACATGTATATCATCATCAGTAATAGAGATCCAGCAATTTGAATGTGCCCATCAGTTTTTAACGTATGAGCTACTATGCTTTCCCGTAACTCTTATATCTGCGGTATTAATAGGAGAAAATAATAATAATGAATAGTTTGGCCTGTTGGTCACACTTGACTCATAATACACACAGGAAGCAGATCTATTGAGTAAGAATGTGCCATAGCTAAATACAACAAGGAGTCCAATGGCACCTTATAGACTAACAGATTTATTGGAGCATAAGCTTTCATGGGCAAAGACCCACTTCGTTAGATGGATGTACTGGAAATTCCAGAGACATGTATAAATATATAGGTATAAGAAAGGAGTACCAATCAAGAGTAAGGCTAGCGATAACAAGGTCAATTCAGTCAGGGATGATGAGGCCCACTTGTAACAGCTGATGTGGAGATGATGTGGAGAGGAGAAATTGCTTTTGTAGTTGGCTAGCCATTCACAGGCTTTGTTTAATTTTAAACTGATGGTGTCAAATCTGCAGATGAACTGTAGCTCAGCAGTTTGTTTTTGAAGTCTGTTCTTAAAGTTTTTTGTTGTTGTTGTTGCAGAATGGCTACCTTTAAATCTGCTACTGTGTGTCCAGGAAGATTGAAGTGTTCTCCTACAGGTTTCTGTATATTACCATTCCTGATATCTGATTTGTGTCCGTTTATTCTTTTACGTAGGGACTGTCCAGTTTGGCCTATGTATATAGCAGAGGGGCATTGCTGGCACATGATGGCGTAGATTACATTGGTAGATGTGCAGGTGAATGAACCTGTGATGGTGTGGCTGATCTGGTTAGGTCCTGTGATGGTGTCGCTGGTGTAGATATATGGGCAGAGTTGGCACCGAGGTTTGTTGCAGGGATTGGTTCCTGAGTTAGAGTTACTGTGGTGCGGTGTATAGTTGCTGGTGAGAATTTTCTTCAGGTTGGCGGGTTGTCTGTGGGCGAGGACTGGTCTGCCTTCCAAGGCCTGTGAAAGTGAGGGATCATTGTCCACGATGGGTTGTAGATCACTGATGATACATTGGAGAGGTTTTAGCTGAGGACTATAGGTGATGGCCAGTGGTGTTCTGTTGGTTTCTTTGTTGAGCTTTTCTTGTAGTAGAAGGCTTCTGGGTACACATCTGCCTCAGTTAATCTGTTTCCTCGCTTCCTCATAGCTAAATAGTTACTCTTCTGACACTAACAGCACTTTAATCTGTTAGGTTAAACTTCATTATGTAGAAGCTGCTCTTGTTAGAACTTCTTTACAGTTTAAATAAAACGTTTTTAATAATGGCTCAGTTGATTAAACAAACATTTATTTCTATATAACACAGCAGATGAGAGCTGCCTAATGGACTGACACCATCAGGATAAGTGCTTTTAGTGCACAGTCTTGACATTTTTTAGATCTATGTGCCACTCCCTTCTTACATGCTGTCTTTTAGGGGCGTATATTGGAAGTATGGTCTCCTGAATGCCAAGTAACAGTCTGCTCACAATACTACTTGTTTCTTCCTTTGTGTGGTTTTTATAGTTATCTAGTCAATCAGTTTAAAAGAGAACAACTTTCAGTGTCCACGCCATTTTGGGCACCATCCAAGATACTGTTCTTTGGGCTGCTTCCCCTTCTCCCAATGTCACTTCTGCTAGGATGACTTCCCTCTCTCCCTTGTAGTTGTTCTCTGTCTCTCGCTCCAGTATCTATCCTACGGATAGCATGGTGGAAGCATATAGAGCTCAGTGCTCGTGTTACAATGACGTCTATTACAGTCCCCTAAGCTTGTTGTCGGTAAGAACATCACACAGCATAAATGTGTTTCGTCTGCATTGTCTTTAACCAGACCTGCAAAGATCAGGAAGACCACCTCATACTACTGATAGAAGAGGTTTTTTTTAGTGCAGTTGGCTAAGCTCAGTATCAAATATCTGGCTTTTGAGATTCATATATGTTAAAAGCACCTAACACTTATGGGTGCTGCTAGAAACTGGGGCTGTCAAATGATTAAAAACATTTTTTTGTGTTTAATCACACAATTAATTGCACTGTTAAATGTAAAATACTATTTATTTAAATATTGTGGGTGTTTTGTACATTTTTTGGCTACATTGATTTAAATTATAACATAAAGTGAGCACTGTACACTTTGTAGTCTATTATGATTACAAATAATTGCATTGTAAAAATCACAGTAAATAGTATTTTTCAAATCTCCCATTGCAAGTACTATTGTGCAATCTCTTTATCATGAGAGTTGAACAGATAAAATATAACTGCACTTCACAAATAACACAATGGAAAACTTTGGAGCCTACAAGTCCATTCAATCCTACATCTGGTTCAGCCAATCACTCAGACAAGTTTGGTTACAATTTGCAGGAGACAGTGCTTTAGTACTAGTAGGTGCTAAAGTTTTACACTGTGTTTTTTGAGTGCAGTTATATAACAAAAAAATTATGTTTGTGGTTTGTATTTTCACATTAAAGATTGCAATATAGTACTTACATGAGGAGACTTGAAAATACTATTTCTTTTGTTTATATTGCTAATATTTTAGCTACATAATGATAAGATTTGAGCAATGTACACTTTGCAAAGGTTGAAAAAATCCAAAAATATTGAATAAATTTCAGTGTATATTCTATTTTTTGTCAGTGGGGTTAAAACTGTGCTTAATTGCAATTTAATTTGATTATTTTTTTGAGTTAATTTCTTGAGAACTGCAATTGACAGCTATATTAGAAACAAATGCAAAATCTTTACAGTGCTGTTTTGTCAGCCGATGGTCAGGGCTCCCTATATCTGTCCCTTAAGACCGGCTGAAGTTCTTTTAAATTGTGCTTGATTCTGTTACAGCAACTGAAGGAGTAAGGTTAAAACTTAAACAGTTACAGGTTTATTGAGGAAGCTTATAAATCATATGGTTGCAATGGCTATTGTTCTATTTCTTAACTATTAGCAAAATATAGATCTTAAAATGGTTACAAAGAAGATAAAGATAGGAAAATAGAAATAATGGTACCAAGTAACAGCTTACTCTTTCTGTGTGTACACTTAAGACAGAGGACCACATCCAGGTACCATTTTTACCCCCTTCTGTGCCTCTCGACTCCAGCATGTCAGGCCAGGGCCGGTCCCTCAATTCCTAGGAAAGACGAAAATACGAGGTGGGCGTCCCCATAGAACCTCGGGAGGTCAAACACCTAACCCGACCAGCAGGTAGAGGGTAGAATGACACTCAAAGTGAGTGTGTGCTGGGCCCATCTTTTATAATCATGGGGTCACGTATTTCTCTTTCTTATCTTAATTGCCAATTGATGCTGGTCTGTCTGCTGTGAGACCAGTTCTTACAAGGGAGTTGTGAACTTGTAAGAGAGAATTGAGGTGATTAAATTGGAAGTACAGGACATTGTTTTCTCAGTGGGAAATTGCTCTTCCAGGGACTGTGTGTGTGTTCGAATCAACATAGGTGCCAGCTGGTGGCAGTCTCGCATATCCTGATCTCTCCTCATATCTATGTTTCAGCTTCTCAGGATCAGATGAGCCAGCATAGACTATGCTGGTTTTATTGCTCCTTCTCTGTCCTGTATGCTTCAGAGAGGCAAATAAGATGGACGTGATGGAGGCGGGCTGTCTGGCCACATGTTTGTATAGTCCCTATTAAATATTAGAAAAGATTTTTCTGTATGGGATTTGTGGTATCCCTAAAGTACAGTCTGGATGGTTGAACAGCTGTGTTCACTCAGTTCTCTAGCTGAGGTGCCTTTTACACTGCTTTACTGTGACAACCTCTCCTGGTCTATTTCCACACATCCTGTAGTGTGCAAAATCACTCCCAACTGAATTATATAAATGCTTCTAGCTAGTCACTGCTGGTGTTACATATTAGTGACACCAGCAAATTCTCCATTCCCGACTTGTCCCCATAAATGTGTAAGCTACATTGTCCAGCATCCTCCTGGAAAATACAGACTCAGGAAGTCCGTCATTTCATTAATAAAAAATAGTATGCACAAATGAATCTCTCAAATTGAGGTTTCCAAACACATCAATTAAGCTCACTGGTTTAGATATACAATAAAACAAATTATGGAAAAATTGGTGTTAAGTGATCAGCAGTAATAAAGCATGGAAGTCAGATTTGTTTACAGACATAAAAGGTAAAACCTGAATTAATATCTAGCCTAACAAGCTAAGTGAATTGAAAGCAAAAGGATTCTTTTAGTAATCTAACTGGATTCCTTCACCCAGGACTGGTCCTCCAGTTCAATTATGTTGCTTTTATCTTTCAAATGTTGTTGATGCCCTGAATAGAGTTGAGAGGAGAGAGTTGATTTGAGGCTTCTGTTCCTTGCTTGTTGTATTTTCCTCCACTTTCAGAATCCTCTCCAGCTGGGGTTCAGGTGACAGCAAGTCTGTTTGTCACAATGTAAATTTTTTGTTCACATCCATTTTCTTGCCAAAGAATGGTTTCCTAATCAGGTGATAGTCTATTTGATTTTGCTGATTGAGATGATTAAATTGGAACTGGACTAGGCAGTTTTTATAGATTTGGAATGTGTCTTAGTAACATCATATAGTAGAATCTTATAACATTACACCGTATTGCCACATTTTACCGGGGCAATAATAATCAGAAAATTTACGATTTTTCGGGGCATACTTGATAAAAAATTTACCTTAGTTTTGTGAAAGTGGTGCATATAAGTATATGGTATACCACTGGAATGGGTAGAGTAAATGAGAAATGATAGCAATTGTGGCAGAGTGGGCATACAGGGCAAGAGCCGAGGAAAATATTTCCATTTTTCGTCTAACCCCAAATGTGTGAGCCACTGATAGGAGAAAGCAAATACATTTGTGATAAATATAGAATCAGAAAAAAGAAAATACCACATTTCTCTACAGATGATGGTTTAGTTATTTTCTCAGCGCCTCCGGGGTCTTGTTCTGCTGTTCTTTATTCAGTTTTGTAAAGGTTTTAAACATCTTGTTAGTGAAGGTGGTGTTCTCGTATTATTGTCTTGTAAATAAACCCTTGGTAATTAATGACTGTAGAAAAAAGTACAGTGTCTTTTTTAAAAGTATGAGACTACAAATATGTGAAATAACTTTTATTTTATTTGTACATTTTAAGGTACATTTTAAGGTTTCACATAGTCAATATGAATGCAAGGTGGTTGAAACTAAAGGTCAACATAAAAAGAGTTGTGCTGCAATAATACCCTTTAAATAACAATCCATTCATTTTACTTACTGTAACATTTGTTTTCATTTCATACCATTATAATTTGGTCTTCGACCTAATTCAAATAGATTTTCAAACCTCTGATTAAAATGGTAAAACAGTTAATTTTTCAGGTATGGGCAGTAAATTCACCTTCCCCAAAAGAAGCATGCAACTGAAGTTAACATTCATGTTCTGTTAGTGTGTTTTGGGCATTCTGGTGCTCAGGACCATCTCACTGAATAAAAGCAACAATTCCTAATGTAATCCCGAACGCCATCAGTGGAATAGTAGGAAAATGGAAAATTGTTCCAATAGAGCGAACAGGATATTTGACACCTAAGATTAACTGTGCTATTTATACTTGTAAATTTGCTCCCTGTAAATCGCTTGTGCTGGAGCTACTTGCATTTATACCTCTTTCATATTTTAAAAAAAGGAATGCACTTTCTTTTCCCTTGTCTTCATTGCAGGTCCTACCATCCATGGTATAAAGTGGTATGCAAATGCTGAGCTGCTGAAAGTTGTGCCAGATCCTTCTAAATTGATTAGAATCAGATAACATATTGATGTCTGGTCTGCATTACAGCTTATGTTATTGTTAGTTCTGCCTGTGCAGCTATACCAACATAGAAAAATGTTTACAATTTTTCCTAGTGGCTACACTAAATATATTTTTTTAAATCTCACCATTAATATAAGTTCACCAATTTTAGACAGAAAATCTTGTGTCAGAGTAGGAAATTGAACCCAAGTTCCAGGCTAATGTCCTAATCAGTGGCACATCCTTCCTTGCAGTATACTCCATCCTGAGCATGCTCCTTGGGGTGCCCCAAGGATCGGGGCCAGTTTTGTTCAACATCTTTATTAATGACCTGGATGAGGGGATGGATTAGACCCTCAGCAAGTTTGCAGATACTACTAAGCTAGGGGGAGAGGTAGATAGGTTTGAGAGCAGGGATAGAGTCAAGAGTGACCTAGACAGATTAGAGGATTGGGCCAAAAGAAATCTGATGAGGTGCAACAAGGACAAGTGTAGAGTCCTGCACTTGGGACGGAAGAATCCCAAGCATTGTTACAGGCTGGGGACCACCCAGCTAAGTAGCAGTTCTGCAGAAAAGGACCTGGGGGTTACAGTGGATGAAAAGCTGGATATGTCAACAGGTGTGCCCTTGTAGCCAAGAAGGCTAATGGCATATTAGGGTGCATTAGGAGGAGCATTGTCAGCAGATCCAGAGAAGTGATTATTCCCCTTTATTCAGCTCTGGTGAGGCCACATCTAGAGTATTGTGTCCAGTTCTGGGCCCGCCACTAAAAAAGGATGTGTACGCACTGGAGAGGGTCCAGCGGAGGGCAACCAAAATGATTAGGGGGTTGGAGCGTATGACCTATGAGGAGAGGCTGAGGGACTTGGGTCTGTTTAGTCTTCAGAAGCTAAGATTGAGGGGGGATTTGATAGCAGCCTTCAACTTCCTGAAGGGAGGTTCCAAAGAGGATGGAGAGAGGCTGTTCTCAATAGTGACAGATGGCAGAACGAGAAGCAATGGTCTCAAGTTGTGGTGGGAGAGGTCTAGGCTAGATATTAGGAAAAGCTATTTCACTAGGAGAGTGGTGAAACACTGGAATGGGTTACCTAGGGAAGTAGTGGAGTCTCCATCCCTGGAGGTGTTTAAGTCTCGACTTGACAAAGCCCTGGCCGGGTTGATTTAGTTGGGGTTGGTCCTGCCTAGAGCAGGGGTCTGGACTTGATGACCTTCTGAGGTGTCTTCCAGCTCTATGGTTCTATGATTCTATGATTTTATGAAGGTCAGGATCAGTGTTTCCTCTACTTTTTTCCACCTCTGAACAGAATGAATTTTGTATGTGCACCAATATGGAGGTGATGAACAACACGGAGGTGATGTGACACATCACCTTCATATTGGTGCACATACAAAATACACGTGGTGGGGGTAGGATCAAGGGATTTTGAGTATGGGATTGGACTGAGAATGAGACAGAGGGTTGGTGTGCCAGGGCTCTGGCTGGAGTATGGGTTCTGGAGTTGAGTATAGGGGTGGGGCCTTTGGGGCCAGGCCAAACCAGGGCAGGGGGGCACTGGGCCGGGGGGGGGAGGGGGAATGAGGCTAGTTCGGTAGGCTGCTCTGTGCGTGGCGCTGGTGTGTGTGGTGGGGGAGGTGGGAGTCTGGGGCCAGGCTGCGGCAGGGGGGCTGCTCTAGGGTGGGGCTGCTCCATCTGAAGCAGGATGTCTTCTCCAGGACTGGTCTGGCCACGGCAGGGGGCTGAGCACCCAGGCTGTGGTTGCATTAGGGCTGTGGGGAGAGGCCATTTCTCCCTCCGCCACCAGGCTAGATGCTAGGTTGGGTGTTAGACACCTCTTCTCCCTGCCTTGAGCACTTGTGCAGGGCTAAGTAGGCAGCTTCACAGCTACACATCTTACAAGGAACTTATGTCAGTATCCCTTCTCTTCTCTGAATGGTATTCTCTTCTGCTCTGCTTTGATGTTAGATGCTGCTGTAGAATCTCTGTCCCATACCTTGCTATGCTACTTGTATTTGAGGATTCATGTCTTAAAAACCTTGGGACTATCTTGTCCATTTGCTTTTAGAAGTTATCCTTGAAAAATATGTGGAAAAAACCCCACTTAGGATACAGTAAAATATTCTTGCTCTTCCTCATAAAATTGCCTCCATAGAAAAGTACAATTGGAAACCCAATGTATATCATGTGGGCCTTGGAAGCACTGAAAACAGTCCTGGTATAGTCATGTATGCTGCCTTTTACCTACACATAAGCCCAAGAACTAAATTTATGTGTACATGCTATGACATCTTCTCTGTTCATTTTACTGTCTAGTTTCTGTCACGGTATTCTATAATTTTCATTCAGAAACAGACAATTAGTATTGTTTTTCCTGAACCAACTTCTTCATTTTATGATGGTATTCAGACTTAGAATAAAAACATTTTTCTACTGTTTTTCTCAGAGTTTGAACTATATTGTTAGCAGATGTACATTCAAGAAGCACATTATGTTCACCATTGAGTTTGATATGTTGAATTTTCTAAAAGTCAACTAAGTTGATAGCAGTATTTTTTTTACAAAATCTCTAAATAATTGATCTTGTTTTCTCTCCCTCTTCAAGATGTTTATTTGACATTTGAAATTACTAACCAACTTTATTAAATGAAACATCTGGTGCTGGCTAACCTATTTCTGAATTAATTCTCAGCTATTTCACCTGCTGATGTCAATTATGGAGAAACCTTAAGTACTCTTCGCTATGCAAATAGAGCCAAAAACATCATCAATAAGCCTACTATTAATGAGGATCCTAATGTCAAACTAATCCGTGAGCTGCGAGCTGAAATAGTCCGATTAAAAACCTTGCTCGCTCAAGGAAATCAGGTTAGTTATAGATTTATTTATAATATGAGTAATATCCTCTATTTCTAAATCCTAATGAGATAATTATCTTTTTTCATTATATTGACCAGAGTAAACAAGTGCTGTGAAGTCATGAATGAATGTAATTTTGTTTTTTGAATTGGCTTCCAATTGTCCACTATACAGGCAGTCCCCAACTTACGCGGATCCGACTTATGTCGGATCCGCACTTACGAACGGGGCTTTTCTCGCCCCGGAGCTCACGGGCGGCGGGTCACCACCCGTGTCCTCCGGGGCGAGAAAAGCTTCTCCCGGTCTCCCTGGTCTGCTGGGGGGAGGGGGGGGGGAGAGTCCAGCAGAGCTGCCCCAGCAGATCAGGCTTTTGTTGTGGACGCCTGGGGGAGAGCAGGTTG